AGAGGGTGAGAAGGCCCCAACAAAACCTACAAACATGCCTTGGAATTTACACTCCAAGATGAAGATCTAGATTCCGATGAAGACGTTCAAATCACTTCCGGAATTCTAGGGATCACTGAAAGGGAAGAAAGTGAAGATGAAGAAGAATATGTTCCTGATGATGCTCCAAAAGGAGTCCTTGATCTTCAAGCTCCTAAGATGTCCATTCCAAAGGTAATAACTGATGAACAAAACACGATATGGTCTGCAGTTCCTGGCCATCCTCTCTTCCAGATGCTTTTGAGAGGGTTGTCAAAATGGCTAAGGCTAAATCATTATTGACCGCTCAAGCCTTCCGAGCAACTCCTTCTGTACAATCTCACATTCTAGAACCAATAGTTGCTCCAATCTACCAGGGCTCTCCCCTATTGATCCCTGATGATATTCCAGAAGAACCACTTCCAAATCCCATTCTGGAATTCACGATTGATGAGAACCTAAATCTTGTCATAAATGCACTTCATAAAGACAAAGGAAAGAAACCAATGACTTCCAAACTACAAGCCTTATACTCCGGACCTCCTCTCAAACAAAAACATGGATGGTCTCAAGAGGAAATAAATCAGGAAATTGAGGAAAGCATCCGGATCCAAGCCATGAAAGACAATCCTGATCCGATGCGTGGCATCTCTCCTCTCTGTCGAGAAGGAATCCTCAAGGCGCATGAAATTGTTTTTTAGCTCTACTTTGAACTTCCCATAAATGATTCTGATCATCTGGATCTTCCTCTCTCTCCCTATATCAAATTCTACACTAAATTTGCTCCACTTCACCCAACTGATCATCCAGACTGAACGAGAAAGGCTTGATACCTTCTATGCTAAAAACGTTCAACTGTTCAAGGAAGTTTGGACCAGAAAAAGGATTACCCAAGTTTAGGGCTTCAGAAGAAAAATCTTGGTGAAATTTGAGCTGAACTGTCCTTTATTCTATTTTCACCTGCTCCGAAACAAGCCAACTCCCCGGACCGTTACTGATGTGGATTTCCCTTCCATGAATCTGAATGGAATCCTCACATTAGCTGCTTACTTCAGAGAAAACGAGAAGGATGACATCAGTATGGGTGCTTATCATGCAACTCTGAGCTTTTTGAAAGATTATGTTGCTGACTTCTGCAGATGTGACTATGAACTGGTTCACCTCTACGGAACTGAAAAATTTGTCGCCAAAATTGACTTCGTTCTTCCGGAAGCTGAACTCCTTGTTGATGGCCCAATTGAAGAACCGCTTCTAGGGTTTGTATACACTACCAGAAAAACAAAAATGAAGGATTTCTTCCGAGTCCTAGACAAACACCTGGTTCCGACTAAAGCTCTAAAGAAGTTCATTTCCAGGGCATCCAAATCTGATGCTCCGGAAAAGGTCAAGTCAAAGTTCATTAGTTAGTTGGCATGGTACATTGTGGTTCGAGAATGGTTGTTCAGATCCTTCACCTTCATCAAGGAAGAAATGAACTAAACCTGTTGGATTGCTAAGTTCACTTAGGGGGAGATTTTTGGAACCTAAAAGTGAACCTCTAGCAATCCTAAGTACTTAATCCTAAGTGTGTAGGTTCCGTAGGGAAGAGTGCACCAGAACCTGTCCGGAGTTGAAGAGCTGAAGAATGAAGTGAAGTTCCGAACACAAGTCATTCTGGAATGCATGTCGAGAATGTTAGATATTCCGGAATCTAGCTATTTTGTCTTTTTTCATTTAATGTTTTTGTATTGATGTAATGTTTCATAGGACCAAATCTTTTGTTATATTAGACAATCAGAATGTTAGAAGTAATTCTATTGTCCAAGTCCTATGTAAGTTCTTTGGTTAATTCAATGTAATATTTTCTCCTATATAAAGGAGCATTCAATACAAGTCAATGATGGATCCTTTTCACACTTTTGGCATCTTTACTAAGTTTTTCAAACAATCTTCTTGTTCTTCATTTATTAGCTTTATTTTTGATCATTTACTCTAGTTCTTCATTTAATGACTTGATCATTTGTTGAACACATTATCTAAGACTAGACTGGTCTTTCCAGGCTAGACTTGAACATTTATTAGTAAGCAGACATTGATCTTAAGCATTCATTCAAGGTTTGTATTCTCAAACCTTGTCCCTGCGCAACTGATCAGATTTCAAATTCTCACACCTTAATTTATGGTTGGGCCAAGTATAGATAAAAACGACTTTTTGATTGGACTTAAGCATTTGGGCCAAGGATTTGGGCTTCCTATAAGACGTACGTTGGGCGTAGCCTGGGTGTACGCGGGGCGCAGTGGCCTGCATCGGATTCGGGGTACGCGCAGCGTACCAAGAGTACGCGCAGCCTACGTGAGCAGATAGCAAACCCTAATTTTTAGGGTTTAAGTTATATAAATACCCCATTATAGCCACACCCCTGGCTTCTTACCAGTCCCCTCACCCTCAGAAAACCATTATTGTGCCCCATACTCCATTTTTGTGTGTGTTTGACCTTTGTTAGCTCATTTTAGTGAAGGAAAGCTTTGGAGAAGAAAATGAGAGGTTGGAGGAGAAGACTTTGAGTGCCTTGAGCTCAAAGATCTGGATTAAGCTCATCATTTGGCATATAGAGGAGGTATAAAGATCTTAACTTTCTTCCTCAAAGTCTAGATCCAAGGTTTTGGAAGTTTTGGACGTCTTTAGGTCCAAAGTTTAGATCTTGTTCATGCAACTTCAAATTTAAGCTTAGGTTTGCCACCCTTGAGGCTCAATGAGTTCCTTTATCTATAAAGTTGCTAGCTTTGAGGCCATGCATAAGATCAAGCCACTTCTATGGAGTTAGTTGTCATTACTTCATGTTTGGGCTCATTTGGTGGGTTGCAAGCCACTAAGTGATCGACTTTATGGATTACAATGATGAAAGGGGCTCAGATCTGAAGTTATAGCTTTTGGGACTGAGTATTAAGTGCTTAATGTAGAAAGGAGCTTAACAGGGTAGAACATTGGGCGTACCAGCCAGTACGCACAACTTACAAGCCATGCAGCAAGTACGCTCTACGTACAGATTAGTACGCCCCACGTACTCATCAGAATTGGGCCTTTGCATTTTGGGCCTCAGATTGGGAAAATGGTTGGACTTGTAAACTATTGGGCCTCAGCAAGCTCGTCAGAAGTTAGACTTTGGACCAATGACATGTTTGGGCTTATGTAGGGCCCATATGAGGAGTTAGGCCCAATATAGAAAATTGGGTCATTAGTGTGCCTTTAGTGGGCCATTGGTGGACTTAGTTGGATTAGTTGGTTTTGGGCCTAGAAGGGAGTCCAAAGTTAGAGCATGGGTAATTTGGTTAATTTACCCTTAATAGTATCCTTAGTGTTCTCACTATGTATTATTGTATAGAGTTGGCCTGGGAGACGTAGGAGCATCAAGCAGAGATTACCTCACACGAGTTTTCAGCAGCTGGATTGAGAGGTGAGTTTTCCTCTAGTAGGATTGGGTCTACGACCACAATGTCAGGTTGTTTAGATGATAGTAGTTCTGGACTTCGATCCAATTTTGGGGTTAGCCCGATGCAGTCTATATGTTTCCGGACATCGATGCGATGTCGGGGGGATCCCGAGAAGTAGTTATGTATGCTTGATGTCTTTGTGATTCATCCATGTTTATGTGTTATGTGTTCCGGGGAGAGCTCGATGTCGGGGTAAGCCCGATGTATGCTATGCTAGTCATGTGTTATATGTGATATGTTCTGCACTTCGGTATGATGTCGGGGTAAGCCCGATACAGTTTATGTGTTTATGATATATGATATGTTATGTATGTATCGGGGTGAGCCTTATGCCGGGGCAAGCCCGATGTTGGGTGATGCGACATCGGCTCCGACCACCTGCTCTGAGAGAGTGCTTCTACCCCGGAGACGGATCTGCGAAGTCACAACATATAAGGCTGTTAGAGCCTCCCCAGGGATTGTGCCCCGGGAGTGGACTCTGACGATCAAGTTAGATAAGCTGGAAGATCTGAGATGGTCCTCCATAGCTGGAGAGAACCATCTTGGTGTTGGTGGTGGTGTGTGGTGGCTGACGGCGATGAGTGGTAGCTGAACCACCCGGTCGGAGTATGATGTGGAGGCTGAGCTAAGGGGAAGCCCAAAGGAAAGGTCATCCTTCATGGAGGAGGCACTATTCTATTTATAGAGGACAATTAGGGTCAAGGGAATTAGGTCAGGCCTTTGGCCAACCCAATTCAGGCCCAACTAGCAAGGAGTTGGGCAAAGCCGCACGGAGACGTCAGGTGGGGTTGGCGGGCAAGCCCTAGGCAAGGCTGGCAGACGCGCACTAGGGAAGGCTAGCATGGGAGTGACATGCAAGGAAGCGCCACGCCGGGCTGACAGGAGATTCCCCAGCACGGCTGGCAAGGGAGCGTCGGGCTGGGCCGGTAGGAAAGTCCCCAGCACGACTGGCAAGGGAGCGTCAGGCAAGGGTGGCATGAGCGCGCCAGGCCAGGCTGGCGCTCTAGATCGGTCTAAGCCATGCTAATGGACTATATATCATCAAGTCCCCCCCCCCCGTCTGATGTTATTGGTATGCGGCCAATAACATCGGACTGGACTTAATCATATAAATCGTGCGTCGTTAAGTCCCCCTAGTATGATGTGGTTAGGTTGCTGACAATCGGATCGGACAAGATAAAGCACTAATACATTAAATAGTAGAGAGAACGACCGAACCTCACCCACGAGATCCGTGGGGTTGTGCGATGAGCCAAACATTGATTATGAAGCTTGAGCTGATTTGATACTCTTTATTGAGACGGGTGCAAGCCGATCGGTGCGATGCAATATAACTGTTGCGGCGATAACCATTCTGAAGGTGTTTCTTTCTCGAGCTATTTTTAGCAAGATTCCCCCCAGTCTGATGTAGGTAGCGTAGGTTGTCGTATCAGACTATGATGCATAGGCAAGGTTGTTATAAGAATACACAACGAGGCTCTTTTCTATGGTAATAGACACCCAGATTTTTGCTAAGAGCCAGACAATATAGATGTTGATTGATTATAAGTGGTGGTGTTGTTGTAGATAGCACTCTTCTTGATGAGTGACCTTGCTATAGCAAGATGTAATGCATGAAAATGCCTTATTGATCGTCCAAGCATAGGAAATCCATGTTGATTATAAGAAAAGAGACATCCAATGTGGTGTTAAGCATGACATAAACTTACGATGCGCGACGATACACGACTTATGTTGCGTGACTTAGAAGAGTAGTTTGGGCTTAGCAACTAGTGATCATGAGGATGTCATCGATCTTACTTACCAACGATAGTAAATACGTCACGCTGGAGAGCATCGCATGGAATAGATCGGGCTTGGCTGCCAGCGATCGTAGATACATCACACAAGAGAGCATTGCGTGGAATCATGTAGGCAAAGGTTGAAAACCTTTGAGCCTCATTGGTCAGAGCATGTCGCAATAGTGGAGCTGGGATGGGAAGCCAGGCGACTCGAGGCAAGAGAGCTGAACCTCGCATGCGGAGCTTGCTGCTATAATGGAGTCGGGCTGAGAAGCCAGGCGACTCAAGGAAAGGATACTGAACCTTGCATGCGGAGCTTGCCGCTATAATGGAGTCGGGCTAAAAATCCAGGCGACTCAAGGCAAGGATATTGAACCTCACATGCGGATCTTGCCGCTATATTGTAGTCGGGCTGAGAAGCCAGGCGATTCAAGACTTGGATACTGAACCTCGCATGCAGATCTTGCCGCTATAATTGAGTCGGGCTGAGAAACCAGGCGACTCAAGGCAAGGATATTGAACCTCGCATGCAGATCTTGCCGCTATAATGGAGTCGGGCTAAGAAGCCAGGCGACTCAAGGCAAGGATACTGAACCCCGCATGCGTATCTTGCCACTATAATGGAGTCGGGCTGAGAATCCATGCGACTCAAGGTAAGGATACTGAAACTCGCATTCGAATCTTACCGCTATAACGGAGTCGGGCTGAGAAGCCAAGCGACTCAAGGCAAGGATACTAAACCTCGCATGCAGATCTTGCCACTATAACAAGTTGGGCTGCGAAGCCAAGCGAATCGAGGCGAGGGTACTGAACCTCGCATGCGGAGCTTGCCGCTATGATGTAGTCGGGCTGAGAAGCCTAGCGACTCGAGGCGAGGGTACTGAACCTCGCATGCGGAGCTTGCCGATATAATGGAGTTAGGCTGAGAAGCCAAGCGACTCGAGGCGAGGGTACTGAACCTCGCATGCGGAGCTTGCTGCTATAATGGAGTCGGGCTGAGAAGTCAGGCGACTCGAGGCAATGGTACTGAACCTCATATGTGTGGGCGCATCGGCCAACATCTATGTGTATGTACCAGGTTATCACAAGTACCTGAGGTTTGACGGCACTTGATGTTCTGCCACATCATTAGCTGTATAGAGTTAAGCATCATGGTTACTGAGAGCTGGGTCGTATTAATACTAGAAAAAGTTTGGCATCATAGCTAATGAGAGTTGGACATCATGGCTACTGAGCTGAGCTGCGAGACTGCCTGGGGCCGATCACCACGGTTGTTGATAGTCGTGCAACGTGGTTGATGTTTCGTGTTGGGCTATGAAGTTTTTCTTTCATTCATAACACCAATCTCTTTCCATGGATGTACAATCGAATATAATGTCAACCCGCTATGTAGTTTAGCTCTTTACTCGAAATAGAAATAACACCTTTACATAGTGTTTTTCTATATATCATCACCGGGGCGAGCCCGATTCCCAATGCGGTTAGATGCCGGGGTGAGCCCGATGTCGGACAGGAGTCCGATGCCGGGATTCGTCCCAATGCAGTGGGAGTAGTCCCAGAGTTATATTTATCTATGTTATGTTAGTGTATGGTATGTGGTAGTTTGGGGAGATTCATTAAGCTTCGTACTTACAGTTTCAGTATTGGTTTCAGGTGCTTCCGATAGCAAGGGGAAGAGCTCGGGATGATCACATGACACACACCACCGTCATTAGCCTGATATTTTCACTTTGATATTTTAGTACATGTTTTATCCAGTGGATTTTATTATGATGAGTGAGATACATAATACATGATTTTTTATTGTCACTCTGTTTAGATATGGGTTTTATAACAATATAAATGAAAATTTTTGGGTCATGTTTTATGGAATTTACATACTCACTCTCTCTCTCTCTCTCTTAAGATTTACTTTCAAATATGACTTTGAATGATTTTAGTGTTCAACATTCGGGGTCAATTTTTTTTGTAGTGATTTGTTTAGTTGTGTCTTTCTCATTTTTCTTATCTGGAAATTAAGCAATCAATATTATAGGTACCACTTGAAATCTCTTTCAGAATCAATTTTGTGGATGTAGGAGGTTTAACGAAATGAAAAAAAGAAATTGATATAAAAAGGAACGAAAAAAAGGTAACCAAGAGTAATGATTCTCTATTTGGGGCTCTAACCCATATAATACTGTAGATATAATGTTGATTAAATATATATGAGGAAGATTTATAATTATTTCAATTATTACTTCATTTACCATTAGTTTTTACTTGATTGAAGATAAACACTCAAAATTGATTCTAGCAGTAACAAATAAATTGTTACAACTACTAAACTATTGCATATGTATTAAATTGCATCATGTACAAGTAATAATAGCATCACTTCCATAACATTCATAAAAGTTTGCCATAATCAAACAAATTCAACAGAAACCATCGACTCGGCTTCATCTTCCTCCACCAAATCCTCCTCCCTGCGATACCCTCCAAATCCATTTCTCCATGACTTTCCGATCACCCTTTTTGCCGCCACATCAGCTGCTGCCGTTGCTGCCCCACTGGACAAACAAGGTCTTGAAGAACAAGATGATGAAGACGACGACGTGTAGCAAGTTTCAGCATCATGGTGTTTGATCAGAAGCTCAGACAAAAGCAATACAAGAGAAGCCATTGTTGCCTACTTGCCTTTCTGTATTTTACACACACATAACTCCTTCAAGATGAGTATATATATATATAAAGATTACATAGAAAGCTCAGCCCATGCTAAAAATAAATTATATACGGTTGGCGGGTGGCTGGTGGTAATCTGTTGACTGTTGTTTCTTTCTTCGGCTGTTGGTTTTTTATTTCCATGAATTGTATTGAAATAAAGGGTAAGCTATAATATTAAAGTAGTTTATTGGTAGGAAATACTTACAAGTATCATCGAAGTAAACTATAAACAAATCAAAGAAATATATATACGATTTCCGTATTTATTTTATTTTATATAGATGGGTTAATTTCATATATATATATATATATATATATATATATATATATATATATATATATATATATATATATATATATATATATATATATATATATATAGGTTCATTTGAAACCATACTAAATTTATGAGACGGTAAGACCAAATCTAAAAATAATTTTAAAATACATAATAAAAGTAAAAGTCCAAAAAAAAAAATTTTAATTATTATTTTCGGAACTTTAATTACCTAAAAAATAAATAAAATAAAATAAAAAGTTACTGTTTTTATTTTAAATATGTTTTTATTTTAAATACGTGAAATATTCTAATAGAATACTACCTTGTAAATATTCTAATATGTTTTTAAGAATATTAGAATATTATACTAGATTTCTCAGATATATAGAATATTCTATTTATTCTACTGGAATATGTTAAAAAAAATATTTTTTATATTTTTTTTGTATTTTTTTTTTGGAAAATATAAATTCCGATTATAATATTTGATTTTTTTTTAATTTTCAATTATTTTGCATTTTAAAAATGTTTTTTTGTTTTATCTACCAAATGAATGGTTAGAACTGCATCTCACGGTCTTACAAAATTAGACCGTCTCACATTAATTTAAACCTATATATATATATATATATATATATATATATATATATATATATATATATATATATATATATATATATATATATATATATATATAGTGTATTCATATATGAATACACCATCTCCCCTCTGCCACCAACCACTACCACAGTTGTCACCAACCACCACTGCGACCTCCGCCACCACCACCACTATCTCCACAACCAACCGCCACTACCGCCACCACCCACCGACGTCATATTGATATATGAATAATCACTTCTGTTATACTTATTGATATATGAATAAACTTATTCTTATGTATTCAAAAATGAATATGATATGTTCCGTCGCCCACAGTATCATTTTCTTATGATGATTATGATAGAATCACATGCTAGTTTATAGGCTAGGGATCCTCATGAATTGCATGATAGAATTGTCTGATGTGTGATGCCTAATAGCCTGGGATAACTTCTTGTATGATAGATGAAATTGACATATTCATTGTCTGGTTGTGGGCTTAGGGAAGAATAAAGTATTAGATTGTCTATGGAATCCAACGTGATGTACTATTAGCATGAACGAGCAGTTGTAGGGTTGGTGGAAGTTTCATGAGTGAGTGTAGGTGTATATAACGTCTGTAGATCCGGACTAGTCAATTTAAGGGCAATCAACATTAAAAAATGAGTTTTTATGGAAGATTATTTAGAAGGATTAATCTTAACCAAGTGGTAGTATATGTTACAAGGGTTCCGTATGATGGGTTTTAGGCATAAGAACAATCCTATGTGCTCATACAAACCCTAATGCTTGGATCTAGGTTTCTCTATTGTACATGCTTTGAATCCAAGACTAATAAACTTAGATCTAATATATTATAAACTGAATTAGGGTTTAGATAATTACCTTTGATTGTTATATAGCAATAACAATCAATTCCTTGCTTGGATTGGCTTCAAAAGCTTAGTGCCTCAAGTGTTGCACCTCTAATGGAGTCACAAACACCATATGCAACTTGGATGAAGAGGAGAAGAAGAGAGGCTGCCCAAAAACGACTAGAAACCCTAGAGAATCAGTTGTCCACGTTTTTGGGGCCTAAGGGGTCCTTTATATACTAGTGTGGGCTGCTAGGGTTTCAGTCAAAACCCTAATGGACAGCTTAAACTCTAAGCAGCCCATGGAACCTTCTGGATAAGGCCATGGACGAAAATATGATGGGCTTCCATCATAATTTCGTTCACCCCTTATTCCTTTAGCATTCCTTAGCCCAATAACTCAATTACCCAATAATTGCAGTCCAGTCCCCTATATTGAATTAATCTCTTTTAGCCACAAAATTAATTCTTAATTAATTCTTGACTAATATTAATTAAACAATATGATTTCTCCTTTAATATATTATTCTCATAATATATTAATAAATCATATTTAAACCTTTTTCTCCTTAAATCATCCTACATATTGCTATGGTGAAGGCAACCCAAAAGGACCATGCTCATAATCGGGTCAAGTACATACCAAAATAGTTATGGACTTAGACACTAATCCAACAGTCTCCCACTTGGATAAGTCTAATAATTATTTTCCGTATGACTTCAGAACCTGATCAGCAATCGTAGCTTTCAAAAGCCGCTGTCAACTCTGATCTTATCAGATAGCGTGTCCTCTAGATAAGGGATTATATATTCCTCCATTCTTAAGATATCGTATAGATAAAAGACATGAATTTCAATCATTCTCTCTATACTGTTTCCCGACTTCCGATTTATGACAACTGATAACATACTACAATTGAACACATCAACTTAGTCCCGGCTTGGCCAAGCGCTTAGGTATCATCACTAAATCATCGAGAGGCCCACATATATCGCTTTTATCCTACTTTGGGTAAAAGGAATGGATAAACTTCGACTCATATGTTCGCTTGCATTTACTAATCGAATCATACACAACAATAAGTTTTATAACACCAAGTTACTGGTGTGTTTACTTATTATCAATGTGCAACCGACTAACAAATAACAACTCCCATGTCTCAGTTTCAAGAATATACAATATTATCGTCTCACTAATCACTCGTGATAAATCCATGAAGTGATCCAAGTGAGCGTGGGTTTAATCCAATACTCTAATCTTATCAAAGCATTCACGAATTCTGCAGCAAACTTGTGCCATGTCTAAACACTTCAGACAATCTACAGACAGATTCATGACAGTCTTTATTCATACCTACTCCCAACGTATGACCGACTGTGGATGTTTGAATAACCTAGTTATTCGGGAAGTCAAAACATGCAAACTGAAACACAACAACAATATTTAATCCTATATGGCCCCAAACTTGTGAGAGTAAATAAAACCCTTCTATTTATCCACCATATTGATTACTCATTATTTATCATTTAATGTTTCAGAAAATCAACTTATTACTCGAATTACAACAATAGCTATCCCATGCATAAAGCATGCACACTATGTTTCCTATGGTCCTTGCTTTGTGAAATAGATCACCAGAAAACTTTTCCAATGATGCTCATTTCACAATTCCTTAATCCTAATTATTAGTGTAAGAACACAAGGTTCTTGCCACTACTAGAATATGCTAGATTCTAACATTTTACGCAACGATCCTTTCCTAAAGTCATAGCACAAAAGTCACCAAGACTTGGCTAATGAAATTACAAAGTACTTTCTTAGAAATGTTACAAGACAATTCCATAGACATGAAGTCTCATATTCAAAGTACATTCCTTTGAACATCCTTCTTGCATAAAGTTTCTAATCTAGACATAGATTCTCAATATCCAACTCCCAATATGGAAACATTTCCACATTTGCCATATGACAACTCATTCTTAATAGAATCTTATCTATTCATAATAATGTCGATATGGTCCATCCAATACCATACTTCCAACTACTCACAAGCGACCAATCCTCAGCGAACTTTGGATCGTCCTTTGATAGTTGTTTAATTATTTTAGTGAAAACCAATTCTAGTCCTTTTTCCCTCTTAATGCGCTAGACATTTGGAAAATTTTAGAATGGTAAAATACTATAGCATTTACAATCGATCCTATACCCGAAGCGTATGGGACACGATGCATAATGTCTTACATAAAGATATGATACTTTACCAATCTTTTGCCATAATATTTTATGTGTCATGTTCTCACAATTCGAACTATGAAGAGGGGTGCCGTAATCATAATCGAATTTTAAGAACACACAATGTACCCTTTGACTGAAAATATTAAAATTTCTTAATCAAAGCTTTAGATTTTGAAACGGAGTATAATATTCTCTCCCTTAATTATAGCAAAACAACTATTCAACCCATGCAACTTTGCAAATGGAATCTTTGTTTTTCTATAATTAATATTGCTAACTTGCAATACTCGCCATAATAATCATGCAAGCATAACACTTATGCTCCCACTATCATGATGATTATCATATAAGCATAACATTTATGCTCCCACTAGCTTTGACATGTATTCAGAAAACAAATGAACTTCCAGAAAACAATGCCTATTGAATTTCTGAAATTCACATTTCTAATACCAAATGCTTCGATAAGCCTTAATCTAAGCTTCTTAAACTTATACACATTTGCCTTAGATAGCTCATATGTCTGTTTAAACAATTCAGAACTTATGTTACTAAGTTCCAAATGTTCAAACTAATTGCCAAATCTCACAATTCGAACTATGGAAAGGGATGTCGTAACCATAATCGAATTTGAGAATACAATTTTCACATAGCTATCTTCTTAAAATCTATCTTAGTGAAAGCATTTCCTCACAGTCATTTTCATGAAGGAGGGAATCTTATTACACTTAGATTCTATGGTATATGAGTTCATATCCATGTGAATTTGCCAAAACCAAGGTTTGCAACAAATCCAAACTCATATGGACTGAACTTTCTTAATCTTGATTTCTTGCCCTATGGTAACACGAGTGCCCACCATGTCTTCCAAGTAGTTTAGTAACTTGTCCTTACATATCAATTTACTTTCCATCGACTAAGGCTTTAGTGTGTATTCAAATGAGAACTCATATACACAATTAACTCAATTGGAATGGCACAGA